GGAGAAATGTGAATTAATTTAGCATTCCACATAGCATTAGAACTAATTACTCACTTTCCTCTTTCCTTACGGACGCGTTCTCTCTCTTTGCTTGGACAGGAACAGAAGAAGGTCCAGCAAATTAACAAGTGCAGAACATGTCCTCTGTGCACAGTGTATTAGCATTAGTGGTCCTAGATTTACCGAAACACTTTGGATTCAAAATTTCAGACACTGCAGTACAGCTGTGCTTTCTCCCAATCGTATTTTCCAGGAAAAAAAAGAAAGTTTGACACCATTCTTTCCTTATGCATGTAACTTTAGAGTCTCGTATAATACCTATTCTTGCTCTTCTAAGATGAGACTTTATTTTAAGATCTTGATCTTATTCTTCCTCCAGAACAGTGAAATTTAAAGCACAAACAGGTCTGTTGCTATTTGGGCAGATAAATCTGCCCAATGCAAGATACATAAAATGTGAGTATACACAATGCATATACAGTGTATATTATAAGATTCATATTATTTGTGTGTATGTGTATATATATATCATATTGTATAATGTAATAATAGTGTGTGTATATACTATATATGTCCACATACTATGTCTAGTATATAGTTACTTCTACTGTACATAAAATGTGTATATACAATGAATATGTAGAATATTCATATTCGTATTCTATATATTAAAATTTGTCTGTATGTATGTATTCTCTATACAGAGATGGATACAGAAACGGAATCTATACAGAAATGGAAGTTAGATCATGGCTCTTAGAATTTCAAAGTTCTGGTGAAAGAAAAAATGCAGAAATTGCTATTGATTTTTTTTTTTTCAAGAATACTTCAATCGACATGAAAAACTGTGTTTGCTAGTTGTGCCAAGGGTAGAGTGGATCCTGGCAGATCCTGCGCTGGCTGTGAGTTCACGTTGTGTTGAATTTTCACAGTGTCTTTTTGAAAAGTCGTCTCTCCTCCTGCACGTGTTGCCCGCGGGCTGTTTCCTTTGCTCCGGTGGAGGCCATGATCTTTTCTTTTTACCTTCATTTGTCTTCTCTTTATTTCTCTCCCCCTCCTGCCCTTTATAAACGATGTTTTAAAAGAGCTATTCCCCCACCTGGCACAAAACAGGTGTATATTGAGGTAGAAAACTGTTTTTCCTGCCTCATTCCAGTTCCGGAGGTTGCATAGAATTGTCCTCTGCATCTCAGCTCTGTTTTTCCTCCATTCCCACCCAAGTTTTTCTTTGGGAATAATGTTTATCCATCACATTCTGGTCCTTGAGGACAGAAGAGGTGCTCTGCTTCCCACTCGGGTCCGTTGCTGGACCCGGGGGTTTGCTGAGCAATCCCAGGAGGGTTTGGTGGAGTTTTACAGTGACACGTGTGTTAAAATACAGGGTGCCGTCACCACTGGAATGACTCATGGAAAACCATGAACTGCAGGCCAAGGCACAACAGTTGAAACAGGAAAAGCGGGCAATTTTTCACACTAAACCTGTACATGCAAACTGCTACAGGACACAGCTATCACATTGCTTGCATACTCCGTCGCAGAGCCCACGTGCTCCCTGGTGCCTCCAGTGGTTTCCTGAAGTTAAGCTCGAAATGCTCTTGCTTTAAGGCATCCTGGGCCTTCTGCAATAAAAGCAGTTGCTCAGAAAGGTGGTACTTCTCTAATACTGCTGCATGAAACATTTTTATATTGGCAAACATTTCCTTAGGAAGCCCCTGTCTAGGAGGACCCTTGCTGAGTTGCGTTCCGTGTAACGTGCCGTGTCTGACAGCGAGTAGCTTTTTTCATTTTAATTCCTGTCTGTGAAATATGTGGTCGGAAAATTTGTAGAAATTCCTTTGTCCTTTTTTTTGCTAAAAGATAACGCACTTTCCTGGATCCTCCTTCTAGTCCTTCGGGATTCCTTTGTCTTCCCCACGTTTCTCCGTTGAGGAGGGTATTTGTGCGCTAGGACCCGAGGCCCAAGGAGTTCTGGTCCAAACGTTGTCGCCTTCCCCGGGCCCGGGCTGGATTTCTGCCTTCTGTCTTTTATTCCTCCCTCTCAGGAAATGCATTTCTGCTGAATCCCAATGCGGAGAGTGAATTGGGCTCAACCGGTTTGCTCTGTGCTACCATCTAGGTCAATCCCGGTGCCGTAGTCGAGTTGGCTGTTGTGCGTCAGCCCGTCCCGCTGTAGGCTTCCCAACAACCTCTCCTTAGAAAGGAGCTTTGCTTGGAGTACGGTGGAATCATAGAGAATTTATTTTTAGAGTAAATATGTTAACTCTTTATTATTCCTTGACACATTTGTTTTATCAGTTGATATACTTGCTCTTTTTACTTGAAAGTTTTATAAAATAAAGGCTGATTTGTTTATAAAGTGGGATATTCGTTTTTCCAACTTCTGCCTTCCCTTTAATTTTAACTTTAAAAGGAAACCCCGTGGTGAGCGCGGTTCCTTCTGCTGTTAGGATGGTACAGTGCGTTTCTTAGTGTCCCTCTTAATATGCCTTCCTTTAGTCTGACCTAAAAACAGTGGAAACCTAAAGTGGAAATTGCAACTTTGACCTGAATTTGACTAATATCTCCAAATATGTACATTATTGTAGTTATATTTATCTTTCAAATATCGTAACAAATCGAAAGAAAGGTATTTTAATTTTAACCCATCTCATGTGTTTATTGTTTAATATAATAAGAGAAATGTTATTGTTTAATATAATAAATGAAAAGTTACTTTTTGGAGCTCCGAGGCTTTGGCGCTCGTTCTTTCACCTTGTTGTCCCCCATTTCACATGCCCAGGTGTCACATTTGCGGCTCTCCCTTGGGGTAAGTGCTATAATGGGCTCTCGGGTGGGTTTTTTCCGTTCTTTGGACCGAGACCTTTTCCGCACCCTTGTCCCGTCCGTGTTTGCGCCCATGGGGAGCAGCGCAGGACCCGGCACTGGGGCCATGTGCGGAGAGATCCCCAAGGACGACCCGGGTGGAAAAACCCCGTCCCGCTGTCCCCTTTGCTCTCCGTGACTCATCCTCCCGTCTGCAGGTTTAATATCCCGGCGTGCCGGGGCAGGTCCGTGCGCGGGCGCCGCGATCCTCCCGCGCGTGGGCATTTGGCCGGCGGGATT